GCAGCCCCCGTGCCTCCGGACCCTGCGCCCCCAGCTGGGCACTTCCCCTCCCGGGCTCTGGCGGTGCAGGGTCTGGAGGCTGCCCAGCAAACCGTGAAGCCGGTAGCGCTCCGGCTTTGGGCAGCCCCCGTGCCTCCGGACCCTGCGCCCCCAGCTGGGCACTTCCCCTCCCGGGCTCCGGCGGCGCAGGGTCCGGTCGCGCTGGGGCTGCCCAAAGCTGGTAGCGCTGGGGCAGCCCGGCTCTTAAACAGAGCCTAAGAGGAGCAGAGCCTCCAGCTGCGGGGGCTCTGCTCCTCTTCGGCTCTGTGTAACTTATACAGTGTAAGTTACGCAGAGCCGCTGGAGCCCCGGAGGGGAAGTGCCCGGCTGGGGGCGCAGGGTCCGGAGGCACGGGGGCTGCCCAAAGCCGGTAGCGCTGGGGCAGCCCGGCTCTTAAACAGAGCCGAAGAGGAGCAGAGCCTCCAGCTGCGGGGGCTCTGCTCCTCTTCGGCTCTGTGTAACTTATACAGTGTAAGTTACGCAGAGCCGCTGGAGCCCCGGAGGGGAAGTGCCCGGCTGGGGGCACAGGGTCCGGAGGCATAGGGGCTGCCCAAAGCCCGAGCGCTACCGGCTTCACGGTTTGCTGGGCAGCCTCCAGACCCTGCTGGGCGCTTCCCCTCCCAGGCTCCAGCTGCGCTGGGGAAGTGCCGGCTGGGGGCGCAGGGTCTGGGGGCTGCCCGGGAAACCGTGATGCTGGTAGCACTAGGGCAGCCCTTTCCCCCTGGCTGGGAGTGGGAGGGAGGAGGGGGCGGAGTTAGGGCGGGGCTAGGGGTGGGGAAATGGGCAGGGCCATGGCCCGTGGAGGGTCCTCTTTTTTTATTTATGAGATATAGTAACCCTACATTTAGGGATCTGGGGCAAAAATCTGTCTGGGGATTGGTCCTGCTTTGAGCAGGGGGTTGGACTAGATGACCTCCTGAGGTCCCTTCCAACCCTGATATTCTATGATTAAAAACTCCTAAACTCTAGAAGGGGAGCCTGTAAGCATTTATAACATAGCCAGCGTTGGTGTCAGAGCAACTATCAAAGATTATCACAACCATGCTATGCAGGCCATTGAACAGGCAAACTTCTCTCCAGTTCCCCTCAGCTCCTGTTTCTTTCCCTGTCCAAGGCCGGACAGGATTCCTGTGCAGTGACCCGTGTCTGAGTGTGCCGTGAGGGAGGAGTTAATAATATGGGCTGGGGACTGTGGGACCTCCGACCACTTCGCTGTTTACCTGTAGGAGGAGTTTGAGTCGGGTGATGCGTTGGAAGGGGAGAATGAGGAAGGATTTGAGGGAGAGGCGCTGGCACACACTGGCACTTTCCAGTTTCTCCAGGACTTGCTGGAACTTTGCATTTCTGTGCCTTCCAGAGAGAGAGAGAGAGAAATCTAGGAGTTGTACAGAATAACAAAGTGATGGTGCCTTCTACAAGGGGAGGGGCAGGATCACAGTCTGATACGACCAAGCAGCAGAGCCCCCATTACCTTGGAACTGGCTCTTTCCCTGGGGGAGAAACAATCTGTCTCTCTCAATGGAGTTAAACCCTTCTGCTGGGGAAGAGGTAGATTACAGGCTGGCCCTTTGGGAACTGGGTGTCTCAGCAGGGTAGCAGTGAGAAAGTAATATTGAGGTGGCATCATAGGGACCTACTTCCTTCCTCAGATGAACGGTCATACTGGGTCAGACCAGTGGTCCAACAGGCCCGGTATCCTGTCTCTGACAGTGGCCCGTACAAGAGCTGTAGGGGGTGTGTACAGAATAGGGCAGCTGGAGTGATCCACCCCATCTTCCCCTCCTGGCTTCTGGCAGTCAGAGGTTTAGGTAACTCCATGCTTGGAGCAACATCCCTGACCAGCTTGGCTAATACCACTTGATGGATCTGTCCTCTATGAACTTTTCTAATTCTTTTTTAAACCCAGTTATTCTTTTGGCTCCCACAACATGCCATGGCAATGAGTTCCACAGGTTAGCTGTGTGTGGTGTGGAAAAGTACTTTCTCTTGTTTGTATTAAATTTGCTGACCATTAATTTCATCAGCTGATCCCCAGCTGTTATATTGTGGAAAAGGGTAAATAACATTTCCCACACCATTCATGATTTTACAGACTTGTATCATATCCCCCTTATGCTTCTCTTTTCTAAGCTGATCAGCCCTAATCCTTTTAGTCTCTCTTTGTATGGAAGCTGTTCCATACCCTTAATAATCTTTGTTGTCCTTCTCTGAACCTTTTTCACTTCCACTATATCCTTTTTGAGATGGGGTGACCAGAACTGAACTCATTATTGAAGGTGTGGGCGCACCATAGATGTATATAGTGGCATTATGAGATTCTGTCTTGTTTTCTCTTCCTTTCTTAATAGTTCCTAACATTGTCAGCCTTTTTGACTGCTGCTGAACATTGAGCTGAAGTTTTCAGAGAGCTATCCATGGTGAGTCCAAAATCGATCTTGAGTGGTAATAGCAAATTTAGAACCCATCATTATATATGTGTAGTTGGGATAATATGTTCCGTTGTGAATTACTTTGCACTTGTCAATGTTGAATGTCATCTGCCATTTTGTTGCCCAGTCACCCACTTTGGGGAGCTCCCTTGGAAACTCTTCCCAGTGAGCTTTGGACTTAACTATCTTGAATAATTTTGTATCATCTGCAAACTTTACCACTTCCCTGTTCACTCCCTTTTCCAGTGGGCAAGAGAAGCTGTTCCCTGGTGAGCCAGAGCCCTTTGGAACAGGGAGACTCCTTCCCTACGGAGGGAATAGCCACATTCCAATTTCCCCCTCAATGGGTTAGGGCACTTCCCTAGAGGCAGAGGCAATGCCTGTGTGCTCCTCCTCCCTCCTTTCCCTAGAGCACAGGCAGCATCCTGGAGGCCCTCTCTGTTTGGAATTGAGACTTCCCTGGTGGGTGGAAGGGAGGGATCAGTACCAAGGCAGCCTCCCTCAGTATTAGGTGGCAGTGAGAGGGAGTACAAGGGGTGGCCCTGTTAGGTGGTGCCCTTCCCTAGGAGATGAAGGGAGGCAGTACGTGTGCAGCTTCCGTGAGGACTGGGTTCTTGTATGGACATAGCAGTGGGAGAGTTGTTACTGAGGCAGCCTCATTCCGCGTTGGGGTCCCTCCCAATAAAGGGTCATTATCGAAGTGACCTACAGCTCTGATTTGTTCTCTCCTGCAGGGGGTGTGTGGCACTGGGGGCATTAGTTGCTCCACTCTACCCTCCACAGCCAATCTGAACTGAATCCTCCAGCCAGTCGTATCTGCCTCCTCCAGTAGGATGGGGTGGCACGAACCTGCAATTACTTGTTTCTGCCTTCTCCAACAAGGGGCTCTGATACTTGGTAGAATCAAATGCTGATTAGTCTTTCCCTTCCCATGGCTGTTAAACCAGAGGAGCCTGGAGCTTCCCAGCCCTGCCCTCCCAATGGATGGTTTCTGTAACACTGATGAAAGCCTCCGACCGCTCTCATACACCCACGCTTGTAGACGGGGCATGACTACCTGGGGGCAACCCGCAACTGCTTAGCTCTATCCTGGCTGATAAAGGGCACTTATGAGGTGCGGCAAGGAGAGCAGAGGGTGAGACGGGAACAAAGCAGCGTTCTTACATTAGCCTCTGGAAAATCTGCTCTTGGTAGGTCTGATTTGTCACGTATGGTAGATACACCTTGCGGAATGCAGGGGCATGTCTCAGAGCCACGTCACACACGTTAAAGTTGAACATGTTCTCCTCAAACTTCTCCTCCAGCTCGAAGAGGAAACTGTAATGCCCCATATGTCGACATGAAAGGAGAGAAACACTGTTACTAATGTGCTGTGGTTACTGTTATTATTTATTATTTGCATTACCATAGCACCTAGGAACCACAGTCATAGGCTGGGACCCCACGGTGCTCAACGTTGTACAAACACAGAACAAAAAGATGGTGCCTACCTCAAGGAGCTAAAACTCTGACTATAAGACAAGAGACAGCAGATGGATACAGACAGACTGGAGAGTACAAGCAAAGTGAAAAGGTCCTTTTGTCTCTCTCAGTCACCAGTCTCCTTCCCTTGCTGTGCTACGTGTAAGGCCCACATACTAATCTCAAGGTTCCTCTCCACTTTTGGGGGACAGCAGAGGTTTGGTGGTGGTGGTTTGGTTTCCAGTGTGAAAGAAAGCTGAGGAATACCAAAATACATCATCATTAAGGCAAAAGGGATTTCAGCTGCTGTGAAGACCAGTTTACTGCTGCTTAAGGCACAGTCACAAGGATCTGAGAGTTTAAAACAAAAACAACCCAGCCCTGTAGTGGAAATGGAAAAAGTGGTAGAGAACCAAAGGACATGCAATCAGTCAAGCCTTACAGGAGAAAAATAAAGGCTCTGAGATACAGAATGTACACCAACCAAAACGTCTGGCATGTGGTGGCACTGGTTCTGGTTCAGGCTTATGGCTGGTGCTGGATTGAGATCTGCCAGATAGTGTCTCTAGTTTTCTTAAATTGGGTCAGGTGGATGATGGGTTCTGGGTTATGTCTGCTTGGTGCTAGATTTGGGCCAAAGTCTCCTTCCTGGTAATTCTCGTTTGGTTCAGGCCATGTTTGGTGGGGCCTGTGGTCTTGTTGGTGGCATTTTAGATTCTTTGTTCTCCTGCTATTTTCTGTTTGTACAAATGTGCCACCATTTCTAAATGCACCACACTGAATGAACAAGACTACCTGACTCACACTCTCTCACCCAAAGAACAAAAGAGGTTTGTTCCAGGGTAGGGTAGATGTTCCTCTGAAGAAGGGATGCGTGTCCCAGGACTGAATGGACACATGAAGTAGGGGTGAAAGGGCTATTGACTGGTCTGATCTTTGTTTTCCATCCTTGGGCTGTATCTGCACTTCAGACGCTGGTGGTCTCTGAAGTGAAGAACCTGGACTCACCTGGCACTGACATCACGCACTTCCTGCAGGCGGGAGAAAAGCCACTTGCGCTCCTGCTTGGTGAGGAGTGCCTGGAGTTCTGATGAGCCCTGGAAGTGATCCACTGCCACATTTAAACTGCGCAAGTATGAGGCCTCTGACAGGATCAACTCGAACTTGGCCTGTAGAGGAAGGGACATAGCATCAGCATAGCAGGCATGTCTGTGAGGGATGTAAACGAGGTGGCACTGAAGGACAATGAAGGGGCAAAGGCCAGGAACCTTCCTGGCTTCCAGTGTAGGTGGTGTGTAGCTGCTGCTTCCTAATGGGAAAAAAAGCCAAGCTCTCTCTTGGTAGTATAAAGAGATGGTGCTTTAATGATGGTGAGAGGCCCGGGGCTAGGCAGGCTGGCAGAGATAGATGGGGACATCAGTCTATTCCAGTGGTTCTCAAACTTCTCTATCGGTGACTCCTTTCACACAGCAAGCTGCTGAGTGTGATCCCCCTTATAAATTAAAAACACTTTTAAAAAATATTTGACACTATTATAAATGCTGGAGGTGAAGCGGGGGTTGGTGGTGGAGGCTGACAGCTGGTGACCCCCCCTATGCAATAATCTCATGACGCCTCCTGAGAGGTCACAACCCCCAGTTTGAGAACCCCATGTCTATTCTTTCTTCATCTATCCATTTGTTGGAATGGAAGGACAAGCTTATGGTGCGATTTGAAGCTATTCATCAACTTTGACTTGGAACTGTAGTATCTATTCTTCCCCCCCCTTTTTTTTTTTTTACTAGAAATAATCACAACACCTCTGTGTCCTATTCTTTCTCCAGAGATTCATCCTTCCTGGACTTCTCTTTATTTAGCACCCCCCCCCCCCCCCATATTGCCATTTCTCACAAGTTGTCTGATCTCCTCAGTTCTACCTTTTATTTCTCCATCAGGGTTCTCAAATTTCCCCCAAGTCCTCATTTTCTCCTCCTTCTCTGGATCCTCTTGCCCCACTGCTTCCACTTCAGTGCATCTTGATTCCCCTTGTCTTTCCCACCCCATTTCTCTGAATCTGCGTGCTCGGTGTCCTCCAGTTCCCTCACAGCCTCTTTTGCACACAATGGCCAACTTTTGATCCTTGCATTCTTTTTCAGAGGAATTATAGTCCGGGCCTTGATTAATGTAGTCTTTTAGGGTCCTCCAGCTTCTTCCACTCTTGGTCTATTTTAGTAGCAGGGGACTGGACCCAGGAGGTCCCTTCCAGGCTTATGTCCCTAATGCTTCCTCCTATTGTACCTTGCTCCACAAGGCTTCTTAATTCCTCCAAATTTGCTTTCATAACATGTACTGCTGGGATCCATAACTGCATTCCTTACCCTTGCATGCCTTTCCCTTACTATGCTGGGTTCAATTCACTCATAATCACAGGTATCAAGCTTCCCTTTAACCTGGATACACATTGCTGATAATTTCTCTTCCTCTTCACCCATCTGCATTCCTGTATCATGCATTCATGCTCTCTGATTTGTCCATCCATCTATGCTGTCCCACCTGGCCAATCCCCATCCCGCTGCCTATAGCATCCATCCATTACCTCCTGCAGTTTCTGATCATCTCGGGACATGTTCAGCAGCATTCTGCTTCCTCGGATCATGGGGATGTCCTGCCAGAGGGACGCATTGGATGAGACTGACAGACGTTGAAGATAAGAGTCCTGCGAAGACAGCACTTTCCTCCGTAACCTTGGGGAGCTTGGAGAGCTCAGTTCGAAGTCCTCTGCCAAAGAATCTGCTCTCTTCTGGCTCTGGATTGCTTTGTTCAGAGCCACATCGCTGTATTCCTGATAGAGTAACCTTGCTGTGGAGAGAGGCCAGCAATTCAGATTCATTCGAAAGCAGTGACTACTGAACTCCCTGTGTGGAGAGGGCTCCATTACTGTTTCAATACAATCAGTCTAAGACAAATGGACATGTCAGAGCCTATAGTGTTTATAATGCACCTATCACCAGCATAGCTCGCCACATCTCTAACCACTTTGCATGCCGATGGTTACATGGCCCTCTCTATACTCTCTCACTGATACTCCCACCTAATTTCACTGTAGCAGCTCTCCACAGGGGGGATAATGGCTGGGGTTTTCTAGAGCACTTAGATGAGAGGTACTTACAGGAGTTGATCAGTTTGGAGTGTCGGCGCTTGAAATTATCCAGTGTGTCTGCAGATTTCTTCTCCCTGTCCGGGGAGAGAAGTTTTGGGGAGCAAGGAGACAGGAGAAAATAAGAACTGCTGAACTGGATGTAGCTTATCCAGATCTCAGTAATTAATCTGGAACAGCTGGGACTTCTCTCTCCATCAAGTTCAAAGTCTGCATTCCTTATTTCTATTGCAAAGGACCGTTGTCAGGATGATGGATATTCAGAAGTAAAGGGACATGAATTCCCCTCTTGCCCCTTGGGGAAGGGGATCCCATTGCATGGGCAGCCTGGGATGAAGCTTAGGCATTATCTCAGAGAGCATTTTGCTCTGTTGTCTGTTTCTTGGGTCGCTAAGGAATCACTGGAAAGTTCTGGGCCTCTGTACCTCAGGTGGAAGGGATTAGAAGCAAATGTGAGACTCACCGACGTATAACTGTGTCTAAGCTGGTTGGCTGGTCCTTGTGTGCTCCCTCCTCTGAAAGGACAAGAGAAGTTATCCCATTTTCTGCCAATAAGACAGCAAGTGCACATGAGAGAGATTCCAAGTAGCCAACTGTAAGGACATGATGCAATGCAGAAATCACATCCTAAACCCTATGTAGAGGCGGTAGCCTGAGACTGGGACCAGTGCCCTCCTGAGGTTTTTTTTCGGGCTTTATAGCTTCATGGCTTTAACAATACTTGGCACTTACTTAACACTTCGTACCCATCATTTAGACAATAATTCTTGTCTTTCATACACACATCTTTCCAAGCCACCAAATGGGAAGAGGCCTGCATTTTCAAAAGTGACAAGGACTTTGGTGCCCAATTTGATGTGCCTGAAAAGGGCCTGATTTTCAGGGTGTGGGTGGCTTGCTCAGCATTTTCTAGAAATCGGGGCCCCTTTAAAGTGCCTCAAGTTGGGCACCCACCACCTGAGGCACCCAAAGTCATTTCTGAAAATCTGAGCCTTATTCTTGGAGATGTTCAGACCCCAAAGCTCTGATTGACTTCACAGTTGTAAATACTCAACACCTCTGGAAATCGCCCTATACATATGTATTGGGAGCACTATGGTCTAGTAAATTAGGCATGGGACTAGATGTCAGAGCTGGGTTCGTTGTGATTCTGATATTGACACTAAGTCACTGGTGACCTTTGGGAAGTCACTCTCTCTTTCGCTGAAGCAGGGTTCCATTTGTAGAATGGGGGAAATATTTACCTCCTTTGAAGGAGGGTGTTAGGAGAGGCCTAACTAAATCTGAGGAAAGAACTATATATGTGGCAAAGGATTATTCAGACCAGCTGGTGGCAGAGATGAGAACAGAGCCCAGGAAGGGGACCACTATTATCACTAACTTCTTCCACTTTGGGGCCAAAAATGTATAAGTGCAATATTTTGAACCAAAGTGGCTTCAATGTAAAAACACTTCCAGTATCCCAAAATGCCAATATTTATGCAGTGTGAAAAAACGTAAAAGGAGTCAAGGCAAAAATATGCCAAAAGTGTCACTAATTTCATCCAGTTCAATATCTGTATTGATAAAGGGCATAGAGATCTCATCCTCCCAAGTACACACTAACTACAATATTGGCTAAAGTGCATTATGCCTTTGTCTAAAGAATTCATCATTGGCTTCCACCAAAGACAGGACACTGGATCTGATAGATTAGCATTCTGATGCAGTAACTGAAATTCTCTGTTCTTATGAAATATTTCTCCAAGGGTAGCATGGGGTCAGAATGGGACCTGAAGGTTTCTGAATCAAACTGAACAGCTCTCAAATCTGTCACTAAAGAGGTGGCACCAAATAGGCCAGGAGATCCAAAATCTCACCGGCCTTATATCTATCTCACTGTCATTCTTTAAGTGTGTGCACTTTTTTGTTATTGCTTGAAAGTTGGCTATCACCTCATCTGCAGACATGGAACAGCCTTGGGGTGGCAGCAGAGGCCTCGACCCTTCAAAGGCTAATAGCTTACTGTGAAAAGATTAGTACTAGTGGGACCACTGCATGGCTTAGGAAAAGGACTAGAACTCTGAATAAGGACCGAGTGCGGCTACACAGCATTTTGGAGTGAGCCTCCAAGCCCAGGTCAGCAGACATTAGCAGGAGCACTGCTAGCCTGTGCTCTAAAAATAGCTGTGTAGACAGAGCTTTAAAGTTATAGGGTGGGCTCTGAAGCCCACCTTATCTCCCTAAGCTTCAGCACCCGGGCTCCAGCCCAAGCCACAACTTCAGAGCAATCTATACAGCTATTTTTAGAGTCCTAGCATGAGCCCTGTTAACCCAAGTCTGTTAGCCAGCACTGGGAAACTTGCTCCAAAATGCTGTGTAGACATACCCACTGGGGCTCAGTGGGTAGGCAAGGCAGGAGAGAAGGGAGGCTGGAGGAGCAGGCGGGGAAGGTGGTGAGAAGAGATGCTGGGCAAGTAGTTGAGGAGGGACTAATTTAGTGAAATGGGAGCTGGGTGTGCTGTTGGTAGCTATTATTAGTATTGGTCAGTCTGGAGAATGGTGATTGGGATAGCGGTCCAAAGCAGGCAAACAGGCAGGCCTCGCTTGATGTAATAGCTTTTTTATCTCTGGAAACCCCAATAATACAGCTCAATTTTAGTGACAAGGGGGTATATTTCCACAGGGCAGGACTGAGGGGCATTAGCAGAGCTATGAGGGGAGCCCAGGACTGGAATAGCAAGGGGACTGCAGGGCAGGATAGAGGGGCTTTGGCAAAGCTGTGTGTGGATAGTTTTGGAAGTGGGTCTCTAGCTATTCTCTGGCTATAGCTATTTTCACTCCCTCACTCCTCCATCATTTGCTTTATGCTGAGATTTGGTATTTTAGGAGGAGAGGGGTCTCACCTTGTAAGCTGTCTGACAGTACTGACATCTTCCTCAGGCCCTGCCGGTGCCAGTCTTTGCTTTTTGCTCGGTGTTTGATCACGTTCTCCTGACTCCCTGAATTGAGTCCCAGCTCCTTCATGTCCACCCTGATGACTTTTTTATCTGGCCAACTTGATGACTTCTCCAAGAATGCATGTTTGACGGCCACCTCTTTCACCTGGGCCGCAAGGTGAAGCGGTTCTCCCTGCCCTTCCATCTTTTGCTTGCATGTCCTAGCGCCCTCTGCTTTCTCGATCATCACTGCAGGGGCTGTTGTGTTCCTCGTATCCATGCTGGTGGGGCCTGCCTGTGCCTGGTCCCACTGGGGCTCATCGAAGACTGCATCCTGTCGGTATAGTGTTCTGATGGCTGGTGGCGATGGAGGGCTGAACTGCAGGAAGTGGATTGGGTTGGAGAAAGCTAGTAGTGGGGGTGGCTGTGCTGAATTTCTATTCTGAGAGTCTGTGGATGTTCCCCACCCTCCCAGGGAGGGCCTGGAGGTGTAGTCAGGTGTGGACTTTCCACAGTGTGTAGCCAGGTGCTGACCCATTGCTTTAGGGTTTCTGTCAGAGTGGCCCATGGGTGCCTCATTCTCCAAAGTGGAAAAATCTGAGCTCTCGGCCAATGAAGTGGCCCCTGAGTCACTAGTGTCCACCTCATCCAGTGTAGGTGAGATGACAGGATCCCACTGGGCACCAGACACTCCCTCGTGGGTCATCTGCATTAGGAGGGGGTTCTCTTCTCCATCTTCCACAGCAGGGGCAGGGACCAGAGCGTGAGCAAGGCTGTCGGCATCAGGCACAGAGGCTGGAGCCTGGGCAGGGCAGCTGGAATTGGGGGCAGTGGCCAGTAATTGACTAGAATCTGATACACAGTTTAGAGGTGGAGTGGAGTTAGATACAGGAGGCAGAGGCTGGTCAATATCAGGTGCAGGGGCTGAAGGGTGGTTGGAGTCAGGCACAAGGGACTGAGACTGGAGAAGCTGGTAGGCATCAGCCAGAAGAGCCAGGGGCGAGCCAGGTGCAGAAGCTGGAGGCTCGGTGGCATCAGGCACAGGAACCAGGGGCGAGCCAGGAGCCAGAGGGGGGGCGAGCTGGTCAGCATCTGGTGCAGGAGTCAGAGGTGAGCTGGGTGCAGGAGCCAGAGGGGGGGCGAGCTGGTCGGCATCTGGTGCAGGAGTCAGAGGCGAGCTGGGTGCAGGAGCCAGAGGGGGGGCGAGCTGGTCAGCATCAGGTGCAGGAGCCAGAGGGGGGGCGAGCTGGTCGGCATCTGGTGCAGGAGTCAGAGGGGGGGCGAGCTGGTCGGCATCTGGTGCAGGAGTCAGAGGATGGGGCGAGCTGGTCGGCATCTGGTGCAGGAGTCAGAGGATGGGCGAGCTGGTCGGCATCTGGTGCAGGAGTCAGAGGCGAGCTGGGTGCAGGAGCCAGAGGATGGGCGAGCTGGTCGGCGTCAGGTGCAGGGGCCAGGGGCGAGCTGGGCAAAGGTACTGAAGAGTGGGCAAGCTGGCTGGCATCAGGCACAAGGGCTGGGGGCGAGTCGGGTGCAGGAGCTGGAGGGTGGACGAGCTGGTCAGCATCAGGCACAGGTGCCAAGGGCGAGCTGGGAACAGGAGCCAGAGGGTGGGCGAGCTGGGTGGTATCAGGTGCAGGGGCCAGGGGCGAGCTGGGCACAGGAGCCGGACGGTGGGCGAGTTGGTCGGCGTCAGGCACGGGGGCCAGAGGTGAGCCGGGCGCAGGAGCTGGAGGGTGCGTGAGCTGGTCAGCATCAGGCACAGGAGGAGGAGGCTGTGTGTGCTGCTCCAGGGCAAGGACTACAGCTTGTTCTGGGGGCTGCGGTACAGCGTTAAGGGCACTTCCTGTTCCTAGCACTTCCACCTCTAAGCTCAAATGTGACTCATCAAGTAAAGGGTTGTGTTGTGCTGCGTGAACGACGTTTGCTTCCACTTCCTTTCCCTGGAAAACAAAACTTCTCATTGGGGGCTTTTGGTGCCTCTGGTCTTTCTCCAGGGAATTCGGGGGAGCAAGAGCCATGTCTGGTGCTTGGGATGACTCCAGGTGCATTGTAGCTGGAGCTGCAGGAGTAGATTCTACTTCATCTGTGTCCTTGGGCAGGCTCTGCTGTGGAGGGGGACTTCTGAAAGCCTTGGAGATGGAAGGTTGGGCACTAGACTCTTCATTAAAGCCCTTCTCAGGTGTAAGCAGACCATGGGGAGTCTGGACACCCTCTGTGCTGGCGGTCACTGAGGCTCCTTCACTAGAAGCTGCCTCCTGCAGGTAAGAAGTCTGGCTGGATGTGTCCTGTACAGAGACTAGTGCTTTGTCCAGGTCAGTACATCCCACAGGGCTCACTTGAGATCTTTCATCAGCATCCTCCTGAGATGGGCCAGGTGCTGATACTGCTGAGTTGAACTCTGATGGCGAGGCTAGAGTGAAATAATGATGACCGGGAAATGCTGGGTTTTCTGCAACAGGATGGAGATCTGAGGGACCAAAAGATCCCAAGTTCCTGGCACCAGAAGAAGGGTCCAGAGTCCCAGAAGAGTCTGGGTTCCCTGCACCAGATGAGGTTACTTCTCTGCATAACGGAGAGATGGCTCCTCCATCATCAAAGCTCTGGACTGTCCTTCCATCTTCGTCACTATGGTCATCCTCACCATTACTGGCTCTGTTAGCCTGACAGGTTTCTTCACAATCTTGGCCATTGAAAGAAATGAAGCTGGAAGGGTCAGAAACCCCCACGTCTCCCCAGTGCGCAGAGATGTGGCAAGTGGGGGAGTGCATCATGGAACTCCCACCCACTGGGTTCTGACTTTCAGACGTTATCCCAGCAGGTGGCTGAGCTCTTACATTTGCTCCTCCAATGCAGGCCTTCAACACTATGCTGGATAGTTCATCCTCACCAGGATGCTGATCTTTGGAGAATGAATCCTGGGGCAGAGAGGCCAGCCCTGTTCCCTCAGCCGAGGAAGTGCTCTCCCCCTCATCACGGAGGTCCCAGTTTTGCTTGGAGAGAGAAGGTGACGCTGGATTGAGTGCTGGTGGTGGAGCCTCCTGCCCCGCCTCTTCCCTCCCTGGCTCTTGTTCCAGCTCATCCCACCTCTTTTCCTTCTGATCTTCCCTGTCCCACACTGGCTCCTCCTGCACTGGTTTCGCTTCCTTCTCTAGCTTCTCCCATTCTGGCTCCTCCTGTTCCAGCTCTGGCTGCTTCTGTTCTGACTCTTCGGGCTCCTCCCTCCATTCTAGCTGCTCGTGCTGCCACTCCTCCTGCTCTGTGTTTTTTGCAGCAGTCAGTATGTGGAAGACGCACTCTCTTGGAGATTCAGTGCTGCCTTCTGCTCTTCCATCATCTGCTCCTTTCTCCTCCTCCAGAAGGAGGTTTATAGAACCAGATGGACTTTGCCTAGCAGCCACTTCTGTTTTCTGGTCTGTGGCCAAAGCATTGTTCCCTCTCTCATGGGATGACAGGACCATCTTTCCATCTGCATTTCCTCCTGTCAGCTGTGAATTTCCTTGGCTGTCATCCAATAAGGGGTAGGGTGGGTGATGTGAAGAGGAAGAGTCTGTATCCTCTCCCCCTCCCTGCAAGCCTCCCACTTTTTCATCATTATCTACAGAAGGCATGGGATTCATCCTGCCTACTGCATCCATCCCAGGAGATGGCTCCTCGTCGGTCCTTGCCACTGCTTCAGTACTTGGTGGGAGCTCTCTGATGGTCCCATTTGCTACATCCAACCCCTGCAAGGGGGGATCTCCAGTAGTGTCCTCATGCAAAGTCTCAGTCTTGCAATGAACCTCTGAAACTTCTTTACACACCAGGAAGTGTTTAGTGGCTGGTTCCCTCTGGCTGGGAACAGTGTCTGTCATTGAGGTTTCCTTATGCTGTGCCTGGGGGACAGCAGTATGACATGCCAGGGACTGTTTCTGATCCTGAGGAAATTCAATATGAAGGGCTGGAGCCGGTACCTGCGGGTTTTTGTCATGAGTGGCTATTGCCTGTGGGACTGTGTTGGGAAAGGAAGAATACTGACTGCTTTCAGGATGAGCTAATTTCCCCTGTTCAGAGTTCGAGGCGTGATCCCATCTCTGTTTTTCCAAAGATATCTCTTGTACTGCAGGATCTTTCTCCCACTCTGAGAGTCCTCTCTGGTGCCTTAGATCTCTCTCCCCTTGTTCCAGTCCTGACAGAACAGGGTTAGAGGATCTGCCACACATCTCTGCTGATTCCCCAGCAGAGAGATTCCTCGGCGGATCCTGGGCAATGGAGATCTGTGCTCCTTCTGCAGAGCCAGGCAGCTTGGTGCTCATCTCTACAGACTCAGTGGTGGCATAATGTCCCCTTTTGGCTGGTGTAGGATCAGGGTTTTCCTCAGTAGGGCTGCTGGTTGCTGGGGGAAAGGGGTCTCCCCCATTGACTTCTTCAGATTCCATCAATGAGACATCCTGTAAATGAGAACACAAATATTTTACATTATAAAATGGCTAGGTTGGAAACTGTGAGCGGATTGACCCAAGGAGCTTTGAGGATAAAAGCTAATGTGTCTGGGAAAATAAGTGAAACACATACCCAATGAGTGGGAGAGAGTCAGGAAACTGTAATGGTGGGGGTGATGGTAGACGACAAATTAGATTGTTCGTAATGTGATAAAGCAACAAATCACACGGGTGTAGTATTAGACTGCAGCTTGAGAGGCTGGTCTAAAGAATTGGGTCTAATTCAGCCTCACTTACACCAGAGGAGCCTGCTGACAGCAGTAGTGGGAGCATGTGTGAAAAACAAGGAAGATTCTAATCTACTGCCTTTACCTGTCTGGGCCATGTCTTGTCCCTGTCCACCCTGAAATGGGTCTCTATTCCCAGCCTCAGCAGTTTCCCATACTCCTGCTGGCCCTGGAATGTTTTCTCTAATATTCCAGCCTCTCCTCTAATTAAAGCAATGGAAGATAGACCTGCTTTTAAACTGCTGCATGCATCATGTGTTGGGTACCATACCATCATGCCAAAGCCACAGTACAATCCCCTCTGCAATGCCCAACCATCTCAGTCTTTTCAGGTCCATCGCTGAACAAATCTGTAACAATCTCCTTCCCCAGCTTCAGAGGGTCCTGTGGCACCTTTAAGACTAACAGAAAGGTGCCACAGGACCCTCTGTTGCTTTTTACAGATTCAGACTAACACGGCTACCCCTCTGATACTTCCCCAGCTTGTCTTTCAGCTGTCAAACCCTCCAGACAGCCAATGAGCAGTCCTGCTATTCTTGGCTACAGCAATCATCCCATATCCCTTCAAGTAAAAAACCTATTTCACCTCTGTGCCCAATCCTGTCTCCGGAGCCATCAGATAACACCTCCCAGTGAAAAATTCACCATAGCAGCCCTTCTAGCAGCAAGGAACTGGGATTTCTTCCTCTCCCCCACCCCAAATCAGATAAGCAAATGTATGACCTTTCCCTCCCTGCATATTGCCAAACCCTTCTGAATCAAAGGTCAGGAAACTAAATTCACAATGTCATTGCAAGGAAAGAAGGGTGCACAGGAACGTTCAGGGCTGGGCCCTCTCTACGTAAAAAGAGAGAGATCAGAGAGACTGGGGATGGAGAGTGAGAATCATGTTAGAAGTCTGTACCGAGGCTATAGCTGGAATTATTGGGGTGCATGAGTGTATATGGAAAGGGAAGTCTCTCATAACAGAATCAGGTTATTTCATGGGGGCAGGGGTGGCAGCAGGG